CCCGTTTGCCGCTGGGCTTCCCCTTCTCCTTCCCTTGCCATCAGACCAGCCTGGATGCGGTGAGTTTGCCCGAAACACTGAGCTCAAGCCACAAGTTCGCCAAATCTCAAACGATACCAAGCTAATTTGCCAAGAGCTAATCGTGCTTTGTGTTGTTCGGCAGGGAATACTCGTGACCTGGACCAAAGGCTTCAAAGCCACCGACTGTGAGGGCGAAGATGTGGTGGAGCTTCTGAGGGAGGCCATCAAGAGGAAAGAGGTCATTCAGTCATTGGGGGGCTCCATTTCGTTCATTTGGTAGAATCGATTTCGTAACAATCGGCTCAATTAGGAGACATTTTATTGTCTGCTCGAACCGCACATTGATTGGCCCCTTTGTCAGTGTCTGTCAAAGCCAGCTTCTCCCCATGTCCAGTGTTTAAGTGCCAGGGCAGCGCCGGGAAGGGGGGGGAGGGGGGCTCCATTTCGTTCATTTGGTCGAATCGATTTAGTAACAATCGGCCTCAATTAGGAGACATTTTATTGTCTGCTCGAACCGCACATTGATTGGCCCCTTTGTCAGTGTCTGTCAAAGCCAGCTTCTCCCCCTGTCCAGTGTTTAAGTGCCAGGGCAGCGATGATTGTGGCTACCGTTATGCTAGCATACGCTAACATTGACACACCATCCGACGTACGAGTCTGTAGCGCGGGGTCTTTTCTTCCTGGGAATCCCCCCACAGCGACAAGATGCCAGCATTGTGCCGTGTCGAGATGGTCTTATTGGGGTCAACGTGTGATCCGTGGAATCACCCGCGAAAACTTTGGGAAGACCACGTACGAGTCTGCAGCACGGGGTCTTTCTTCCTGGGAATCCCCCCACAGCGACAAGAGATGAGATCCCCCCCCCCCCCAAAGGGGTATTTGGTGCATTGTGCTGTGTCGAGATGGTCTTATTGGGTTCAACGTGCGATCCGTGGAATCACCCGCGAAAACTTTGGGAAGACGTTTTGATCAGCGGAGTCGTGTTGCCAGAAATACTAAAAAAAAACTAACGCCTGCCTCTTGGGTTGACGCCGAAGGAAATGATGATCGCGGCGCATTGCATCATGGTTCACGTGTCCTACCGCCATCTTTTACTCATCTCAGGAATTTGAGCTGGATGTGGTGGCGATCGTCAACGACACCGTGGGCACCATGATGACCTGCGCCTATGAGGAACCCACCTGTGAGGTGGGCCTGATTGCAGGTACGTTTTTTTTTTTTTTAAACACCCATCTGCTTGTTAGAGGAGAGCAGAAAGTACTGAAACATTTTTGAACATTAGCAAAGACCATGTCGTCGATCGGCGAGCTTCGGTAAGCTTTCTCGGCACCCGGAGATCCGCACCGCGTCGGAGGACAGCGCCAAAGCTCTCCAGGGAGAATCCCGTGATCCGTAGCTGGCGGGGCGCAATATATCCATGCGTTCGGGAGCGAGGCGGGCAGGAAGTGCTCTCCTTGGAGCTCCCGCTAGCTTAGCCGCCGCGAGGGGATCGCGTGGACTCTTGAAAAGCTCAGCTGGGATGTGGGCCAGGAACCTGTCCTTCCCATCACTGAGTAACAAGTGTTTTTCAGGGACGGGCAGCAACGCTTGTTATATGGAGGAGATGAAAAACGTCGAGATCGTGGAAGGGAATGAAGGTCGGATGTGCGTCAACATGGAATGGGGAGCCTTCGGAGACAATGGTTGCCTGGATGACATCAGAACCCAGTACGACCAGGCGGTGGATGAGAACTCGCTCAACGAAGGCAAACAAAGGTCGGGCCGCTTTTTCGGTATCTCCGAGTACTTTCAAGTCGACAATTCTTAACAAATTTGCCTCTTTAGATACGAGAAGATGTGCAGCGGCATGTACCTGGGGGAGATCGTCAGGCAGATTTTGATTGATCTCACCAAACGCGGATTCCTTTTCCGTGGACAAATCTCTGAAACGTTAAAGACGAGAGGCATCTTTGAGACAAAGTTCCTGTCTCAGATCGAAAGGTGGGTCGCTTGTCAAAGTTTGCGATACTTTGTCTTTCGAAATTATTGTTTTGACTCAGAAATCGGGGATTTGGGATTGATAGTCCAGACGAGACCCAAACTGCAGGGACAGCAGTTCTTCACGTCGTTATAGAAGCCTCGACCTCACGTTGGTCTCGGCACCTTTCGGTCTTGGTTTTGACTCGGTACAGGGTCCTTAAAGTCCTGGGTCTTGAGGTTCTCAGCTTGTCAAGGTTTTATTCTCTACTTGGCCATGGGTCTTCAATACCTTGGTGTTGACTTGGTCTCCACTGCTCAAAGTCTCGGTCTTGCTTTGGTCCCAGCTCTTTCTTTGGCTCCACAATGTTTTTTTTGTTTTGACTTGGTCGCAAGTCCTTAATTTAAAGTCCCGGCTCATTAAACTCCTGATCTTGACTCGGCCCCTTAAAGTCTCAGGACTGATTTGGTCTCCATCCCTTCGAAGCTTGGTCTTGACTTGCTCTTGCTGCTCAACATTTTTGCAACACCGCCGTTATTGTTCAGTGGTAAATGTCAATCATGCTGTTGGAGTGGCTGCGATGGTACGGCTGGAGGAACCGCGGCGAGAGAAGCGTCTTCATCATGTCGAAAAGATGTAGCCGCGCAACTAACGATGAGAATTACTAGAAAAAGGTTGAGGGTGACCGCAACATCAGACCGAGCCTCAAACCGTCGCCGACGGCAACAGCCACCGGGGATCCAGTGACTCCCCCGCTATTGGCAAGCTATTGACATTTCGCCCGCTTTCCTACAACCCCCCCCCCCCCCCCCCCCCCCCCCCCTCGTCTGGCTCTGCTGCAGGTCAGGGCCATCCTGCAGCAACTGGGGCTGGACAGCACCTGCGACGACAGTATCATCGTCAAGGAGGTTTGCGGTACGGTGTCCCGTCGCGCCGCCCAGATCTGCGGGGCCGGTATGGCAGCAGTTGTGGACAAGATCCGCGAGAACCGGAGACTGGACCACCTGGATGTGACCGTGGGCGTGGACGGAACGCTCTACAAGCTGCACCCACAGTAAGGCCAACTTCATCGCTGTACAAGAGTTGACTCTTTTGACACCTAAGCCGCTAAAAACGGGTCAAAGAGAGGCGGCCACTCAAAACCCGCTGAGTTTACAACCCCTCCTGGTTTTGCCCGGTCAGCTCCCAATTCCGTATTAGTACCTTTCACACGGGACATCCAATTAATTCTTTAACTCCACAAGACGTACACACGTACGTCTTTTTAAAATTAGGCCCCGCCTACCAATGACATACTTGTACGTCTAAGTCTTTTTTTTTTTTTTTGCGTCATAGAGAGGAGGGTCTGATGCAATCTGTGAATGAGAATAAACGGTTTGCAATGTAAATCATGTAAAGAAGCGACCAGTAGGGGGCAGTGGTGCCTCACGTGCTTGAAATGCATGCTTTTACAAAAAGCTTTTTCGTTTTTCTTGCCCAGGAATCGCCATTTTCATGAAACTTAGCCATTTCTCATGCCGATTGCTGAAGAATGGAAAAAGATATATAACACTTTCTGAAAAAAATATTATCGACGTGCCCCCCCCACCTTACAACAGTTCTGCCCACCAGCCTATTCGGAAACCTCTGTGTGTCTCTCTCGCAAGCCACCTCCCTCACCCCCCCATCTCCTCTCCCCTCTGCCCCTCGCAGTTTTTCGCGGATCTTCCAGCAAACGGTGAAAGAGCTCTCCCCGAAATGCGACGTGAATTTCCTTCTGTCTGAGGACGGTAGTGGGAAGGGGGCCGCGCTCATCACAGCGGTGGGCTGCCGTCAGAGGGAGCAGGAAGCTCAGCAACACTGAAGGCCCTCCCGGAAAAAAAAAGTACGAAAGGAACTCTCCGCTGCTTCGTGGCCATCGTTCACCCCCATCCTTCCAACGGCCGTGACCCACCCACCTGCCACTTGACCGCTGCCCCGAAGTTAGGGCGGCGCACAAACAAGCACCACATGCTCCGCATATTTATTGCTCGGCACCAGCAGCTTTCTTGTGTTTGTCCGTTCTCCTCGGTAGCTCGTCTGTGTCTAATATTTGTGTATTGCTAACGTTATTTTTATATGGAGGCAAAGAGATGACTATTTATACAGCTGAGGCCATTCCCATGACATTTTACACCACCGGGACAAGAAAAATGCTTTCACTTTTTATACACACAGAAGCCTGATGGGCCAAGGCGTTCCCCAAACGTACCTTTCCGAAACGCCGGGCGACAAGAGCTCGCCGGCAAGTCACGGCTGCTCCATTCCTTCCCATGACATCACGTGCAAAGTTAAACGAGCAGAGATTGGGGACTCGAGTTGTTGCAAATTGGACTTGACCGAAGTCACCGTTTTGGTTTGGGAAAATAAACCCAAGAGACTCGACACTCGACTTAAGACTTTTGAGTTCAAGAACCAGAGCTGAGGCACGGGCTGACTTGGGAAGCATTCACTGATTCGCCACTCCCTTATCACGACAGCATTTCGGGGGGGCTACGTACTCCGGAGTGGATCTTTTGAACTGAAACTCGTCAGCCAATCGTAGATGGGGGTTCCCCCCCGAGTGAAACAAAAGGTTCTCGGTTGTATGTTGAGAAATAATCAAATTCATGTCACTGTAAATTGCAAACTGACTTGCGCAAAACAAAATGACGTGCGACTCGTTAGCTCAAGGCTTAGCGCGTGCGTGACCTGTTCCAATCTCTGCCCGTTGACTGCTGGTGTGCATCTTGTCCGTGTTGGTCACGCGTCCATGTAGCGGGCGGCAAATGTTAGCCATCGTTTAGAACTTCTTTGTGAACTACTACGCTTTGTTGTCGTGATGAACCCCGCATCAACTCTGACCGGGAGGGGTGGAGAACTACTACTGCTGCTTTATTGTGTATATTGTGTCAGGAGCGTGCGTGTATGTGTCCGACCAGTACGCTTCCAGTGTCTAAAAGCTGTGTGTAGACTGCATGCCTTACACACAGACGTGATGCCTTTTGTTTCACGTGGAAGAAGACGACACTTGATGATTAAATTCTATTTTGTTGTGGAACAAAGTCTGCCGTCTCTTTCCGAAAGTCGCAAGTCCACGCAGCAGTGGTTTGGCCAATTATTTTAATCATGGATTAATCAATCATTCTATCAAACATTTGATCCAAACTTCTCTTTATGACAGAAAATCGGGACATTATTTCAAATTGAGGGTGCGGAAAATGCACCACGATATTTTCAACAGGCTACAATAGTGTCTCTGCAGGTCCGAATAAATAAAAATCGATCAGGCAGATGCAACTGATCCAAAATGCTGCCGCCAGAGTCCTTACAAACACGAGGAAACTGGACCGCACCACTCCTGTCCTCACATAACTACACTCGCTTTCTGTGAGTCAAAAGAATAGGTTTGAAAATCTTGCTGCTGGTCTTAAAATCCCTCAATAGTTTTGGACCAAAATACAGTCAAACCAGGGTTTTCGAACGTCTTGGTTCTCGACCAATTTGGTTTTTTTATGCCTCGGACGCCAAACAAATTTCGGTTCTCGAACAAACCGAGCGCACATGAATGCATCATTTGACTCCTCTCGCCTTCCTTAACACGAAGAAGTGACGCTTCCTCGTGTTGCTTTCCATTGTGAGCAGACGTGTTCAATAAACATTTTTATTTTAAAAAGAGCGTGGTTTCGGTTTTCGAACCGCCTTCTGGAACGGATTATGGATGAAAACCGAGGTTTGACTGTACACGTAAAATGAAGCACACGGATCCTTCAGCTGGTCTGGGACTGGTCCATTTTGGTGTTCCCAGACGCAGAACCAAACAAAGCAGCATTAAGTTAGTAGGCTCCTCGCTCGTGAAACACGTTCCCCGAATAGCTGAGGTCCGCCCAATTTGTCAGTTTATTTTAAATCAAGGCTGAAAGTATTGTTTACTGTGGCATTGGTGTGTGTTTTATATATATATATATATATTTTTTTTTCGTTTGTTTTTTAAGTGACTCCTATTTAAAGTGTAAAACTGTAAAATAGTCACAGTCAGCATGCAACATGCCACTGAAAGCACGTCAGCAGGTAATTACATAACAAGGGACATAAGCACACAATATTAATTACTGTCAATTAAAATTTCCCAACACTTTTTTTTTCCAACTTGACCGAAGGAAAAGTTGTCATGCTCTTTTATTTATTTATGTTATTCTTAATCATGCCTTGATTCCTTAATTCTAGATACATAACACCTCGTAAATGTATACATATATATATATATATATATATATATATATATAAAATAATTGATATACACTGTATATCAAACATAAAATATGATGCGCGCACGAAATATGTCAATAACAGCAGATACGGTACATGGAGTAATATGCGAACAGGCGACATTAGAGCTGTATAGATCACTACATATGATGTAAATAAATCACTCACTCAAGCTATTCCAGATGTGTGTGCTTTGTGTGTCATTCCTGGCCGATGCGTTCAGGGACTCCCGAACCACCTGTTAAGAGGGGGAAAAAAAATAACAGTGACTCGAACAAACCGAGCGCACATGAATGCATCATTTGACTCCTCTCGCCTTCCTTAACACGAAGAAGTGACGCTTCCTCGTGTTGCTTTCCATTTTTCTTTCACAGTTCGAATCCAGTAGCAAATTAGTCCGTAACGAGTCTAATCCGTTCGACTCATTTCGATGCTCGTGGATCGCAACAATAATTTTCGTCTTTACGTTGCCGGGTTAGACTGTGAGGGCATTTACAGGTGTTCCTGAACGCTACGCGCACTTGAAGGTAGCGAGTCCTACTTCCAGACGTCTTGAGAGCATGCGCGTGTTTCTTTGAGCGCTCTGGTTGCTTTTCTTCATTTTTTCCTGCTGCGGTTTAAACATCACGTCCCTGCTGTGCTGTATGTGTGTGGGGGGGCGGGCGTGCATGCTTGTGTTTCCCCCCCCCCCCCCCCCCCCCCCCCCCCCGTAAAATGAAGCACACGGATCCTTCAGCTGGTCTGGGACTGGTCCATTTTGGTGTTCCCAGACGCAGAACCAAACAAAGCAGCATTAAGTTAGTAGGCTCCTCGCTCGTGAAACACGTTCCCCGAATAGCTGAGGTCCGCCCAATTTGTCCATTTATTTTAAATCAAGGCTGAAAGTATTGTTTACTGTGGCATTGGTGTGTGTACTCACCATCACGCAGGCAGCTCTCAACTGCAGGCTTTCTTGCTGCATCCACCCCGCTGAAACAAACAAAAAGAAAATAAAGACACAAGAGTTCCGAAGTGTCAGCGCACGTCTCAGGTATGCAATCAACATTTAACATCGCGCGTGCATGCTTACCGCGTATCTACTTGGCGATGACGTTGATAACCCTTGCAGAAAAATAGGCAGTAGCTCGTTAGCTCGACGTGCTAACGTGGCTCGCTAGGGTAAGCTAGCATGTAGCTAGGTTAAGGAACGTGGGAGGTTAGGAGTGGGGGGGGGGCGATGTCGAGTGAGAGCGGATAGCCGCCTAAATTTAATTTTGTCAGAAACACGCGTACATTTATCGAGACTTGTTTGTCGAGTCGACTGGAAACGGCCATTTTCGCGCGGCCAACGTCAACAGCTATCGCCGAGCTAGCCGAGGCGACGTCACTCGGGTTTTGACTTCAGACCACCTGCTCCATGACGTCACTCTCCCGGTCAAACTGCTGCCACCTTTTCCAAGTGGAACATATTGTACAGCAGGGGTAGGGACCTCCGCTTCCTCGAGAGCCATATCCTGCCTGTTTTAGAGCCTTCTCGACTTCAACACACCTGATTCGAATGATCAGCTCATCGGCAAATTCTGTAGTGGCCTAAAAAAAAGATCATCCTCAATTGAATCAGGTGTGTTGGAGGAGGGAGGGATCGAAAACAGACAGGATATGGCTCTCGAGGAACCGGAGTTCGCTACCTCTGTTGTACAGACTCGAGTTTCCACCCTTGTGGGTACGACGTGTCGTTCCTTGTTTCACCCACACACCAGCCACACTTGTTTTGCCCCCGCGAGGTTGCCTCGTTGACCGTTAAACCAGCGAAGCTGTCAGCATGACGCTTACAGGTGCCCGCGCACGTGACTTTTCGTTAGCATTAGCCGCCCACTTAGCTCGCTCGAATTTGGGAGGACAATTTAAATGGGGACCAAAACCACCCGCGATAAACGAAAATCCGCGAAGTAGCGACCCCCCCCCACACCTCCCTTCCCGATAGGTATATGTGTATGAGTATAGAAAACATTTATAAGGTCAAATTTAATGGTGTTCGTGCATTTAGTAAGTAAATTTTGTCGTAATTAACATTACTTAATGCTGTACACTAATAGATTTAAACATGTATGTTAGGTTAGGTTAGTGTATGAATAACAGTAAACATAAACATGTAGTACTGTATATGTGACTTGCTGTTGTTTTGCTGCTTCTTGCGGATTGTTTGCGGAATTTATGCGGACTTAATTTATTATTATTATTTCATGAATATGTTTGAAAAAATCCGCAATGCAGTGAAGCCACGATAAACGAATCGCAAAATAGCGAGGGATCATTTTACTGTTAACCTTTTGAGGGGGGTGGGGGGGAGGGTACCCTTGATCCGTCACCATTTCCCGACAGAATAAAGTCCAGACAGATGAAAAAAAAAAAAATGGACGAAAATTGTGAAATAAATTTTCACATTCACACTTCTTTGTCAATATCTTGAATCCAAAGTATGGTAAGCAAGATACCGCACAACAAAACTAATGAGAGACAGGACATGCGATCAACGATCTGTCGTTTATAAAATCTGGGATCCGGAAGCATCATGCAGTGTGCGTCGACCCTGCGCAATAGACAGATTTTATTAATTTTTTTTCCAAGGTCGATACCGATTGTTAGTAATGAAGGAGCAGCCGGTGTTTGTTTGCAGTAAAAAGGAAGATATTTGTCGAAATTGGTCATCATAAATACTCCAGCACTTCACTTTGTTTAACTACCTTTAATCGTGTTCATTAAACGGCTTTTCAGCTTTGCGTTAAGTTCAGCAACACCAAGTGAAAATCTTAAAAAAAAAAAAAAAAAAAGCAAAATAATTCTCATTTTAAGATCAGACGGCAGATTATTATTATGATTTTTTTGTTTGTTTTTTTATAAAAGGCAGATTCTGACGTGGATCAATTGATTTATGCACTAATAATTGGCCTGGCCGATAATTGTACGATTGTTTTGAGTAACTGGGTGCGGCTTAGATTCCAGTGTGCTCAATTGTCCCGAAATGTCTCTTTGCCTCTCTTAGACGAATTGTTCATCGTTTGGCCAAACTGTGGG